TTTAAAACTTTGGATTTGTGATTAACCGTACCATGAGAAATCATCAACCGTGCTATGAGAAATCAGCTATGAGAAATCATCTGTTCAAGCTTGTGCGTTTATTTTCGTGGGGCAAGATGATTTTACCTTTCATAGTGGAGTGAGATACGAAACAAATTTGCGGACTAACTGCAATGCATGATGTTTACTGAATGACTGAAAGTCAATTTTCTTACCTATTAACTTAAAAACTCACTTTCGAGCATATCCGGCTGCATAATTCAAGATCGAAATGATTTGAAATTTTGGTTGATTTATGCAGTGATTAGGACAGCATGTCGTTGTGATAGGGTAAAAGAACCACTTCAATTTACTACAAATTCACGACAGCTTACCCACGAAAACGCGTAACCGTACCAGCCTCTTTAGTTCAGTTCTGTTCACTCATTAAGACGCGTTGCTGTTACATCTTTTTTCTCAAAAAGCCTGAATAATTCATTTCCCACTCAGGACATGTCTATTTTTTTAGTACGGAAGCTCGATGGCTTCACAAGTTCCGAGTGGCACGCCGGCAACAAACTCATACCAGGTATTTTTTTCGTATCGGAGGTGAAATTTAGCATACTTAACAACTACGGCCTTGTTAGCCAATGGCGTTGTTCAAATTCCAATATTATCAATAATACGAAGAATACCAAAATATTATCAGCAGTATTATTAATAATATTGCACTCAGCTGCCCTCTTTTACTGATACATTCAGGTTATTCTCTTGGGAATGGAGGTATTGGGGCTGGGGAAGAATTTTTTTTGCCATTAAGGGCGTCAAGATGGCCATTGTGTTGAAGGAATGTCAATCCTCTATACTTTTAAAAAGACAGCTAGTCCAAAAGCAATAAAAGATATTGCATTTGAGCACTGCCTCATATAAATTTGTAAGAGGGTGATTTTGCTCGGAAGAATTTTTTAAGCATAAACTGTACTGTTTCAGACAGGGCCATTCTCGGGAGGTTTTTTGTTCACTAATCCACACTCCCCATAATTTTGCCTTTTAACTCGTATTACACGATCAGCCACTTACATCTGGCGTGTACTGCCTTAATAACTGCGCGCACTAAGACGGGACCACATGGGCATATGTTGCATTTTGCACTGAAGCCTATAACTCGCTCTGTTATTATAGTTTCTTCCATACAACAATAAAACTGAGTAATACAGTGATGCGGAAATTGTAGCTCTTGCAGTCAGTGGTTTGTTAGTATTTGGAAAAGATATCTCGTAACTTCGTGAAAGTTATCCATTCTGCTTTTTTGCTTGAACTGTTATTCATCCTCATGATTTGTATCAGGTAGGCAGAAAACCCGCGAAAAACTTGCAGTTGCACAACATGCAGTAGCAATGCAGGACAAGGCTTGTGTGGAAATGCCATGCATACAGAATATAGGTGCTCAAAGGAAGTATGTGTGAAGCACAAGGACAGGTGGTGTAGTGGATAACATATTGGGTGGCGATGTGGGGGAGGGAAGGGAGGTTCGATTTTCTCGCGGTCCATGACCGTTTTCGAAAGGAGGCATGTTCTACAACGGGGCCTGCTCCTGTCTGACAAAAAAAAAAAAGTTGAATTTTCAGCTGGAGCAAAATGCAATGACTTTCTGGCTGCCGTCTCCTGATCAGACATCACAGTCGCGGCCAATGTCAGCGACAACTGTAGTAGCGCCCAATACATTTGTTTCAGCACAGCAAAACACTGTAGGATTTTGAAAATTTTCAGCGATTTAATAAAGCATATGAAAATTAAAACCTCATTCTCCGGTTGTTACCATCTTTCAATTCTCTCAGCTTAGCTGATTCACATTTCTAGTCAAACTGTTGCACCTTCTGCTTCTCTGTTGATGTTAGTGTTCCAAAATGTGATTTTTTTTTTTAGATCAGACAGCCTATGCCTCCTCGATTTCCGCAAAATACGCCAACGGTCGTTCCATTTCAGGTGCTTTGATTACTTACCATTTTTTGCAAACTGATCAGTCTGCATTTATGACGGCATCAAATGTATATTTACTTGTAATTAGTGCTTTTAGCATTTATGCGTGAGCATCCAAATCTCCTTATTTACTTCTTATGCGGGGAAGGGGGGGGGGGCGATGGGGCGGGGACGAAAACACTCGTAAGTATACGAAAGTAGTAGTTGCAAACAGCACTTAACTACTTTCAGGTTCTCGTTGATTCCCTCTTTGGAAGGTTGTATAGAAGCCTTTTTTTTCTTGCCCTTGATACTTAAACTGTTCCCTTATCTCTTACTCTATTATTTTGTAATAATACTGTAAAACTAGACAATATATGTTGTCTCATTTTTTTACCTGTTTTGAGAGAAATAAAAAACTGAGATACAGTAAGGTTGCCTTCGTTTCCTTCTTCATTTTTCCACATTTATGAAAAATGGCTAAAGGTATGTCAAGACAGTCATGGAGGAAAATAAGAAATAAATTCGAGCACAATAGTTTAAAATTCTTCGCTTCCTGGTGTTAGCTGAGTAGAGATGACAAATAGGCTTGAGGGGAAAAAATGTTTCAGCATCCTCTAGTTATGCACAGTTGAATAGCAGTCTCATTTTGGAGCTGTTCAACACTTTACAAAAGCTGAACATCACTGATTTTAAGTGGCAAAAAATTTGAAGCGATGTCTGACAGACATGCACTTATTCTTGAAATTTTCGATAAATTTTCTAAATCTGCGAAATTTCAGCAGGAATTGCAATCTGGCCAAAGCTCATTACCTACTGCTCCAGCGACAACATTTCCTGCTGAATCGCAGTCGCTAACAATACCAATAACAGCAGCACCGACCAGCACTGATCCTGTAAGTATGCCAGCAGTACTGGGGTTTTGAAATTTTTTCGAATTCGATAAACATTGAATTTAAAGGTTTTTTGCTGTTGGATCAGGTCGTTTGTTGTTCTCTTGTTCCAGCACTGGTGACATAGACGCGCATTTTTAGTGAAGAAAAAAAAGATCCATATCGTATTATATTTTAAAATCTAATAAAATCAAAATTTTTCAGGGTTGTAGCCCACTTCAGCGACTTCAGAACTTCACATCAATGAATGGCGCACCCCAGGTACTTCATTTGTTTTTTGCCTAGTCTAGTTTAATTATCATCTGCTATCCTGCGTTCTTAGAAATACTTGCATGAAATTGTTTTTTTTTACTTGATGCGAAGCACGCACTGCTTAACTCTTCGCAACGTTTTGCCGGTTAACACTTTCAACAAGATATTCCTCTATTTCACTGTGATAGTGGCATTTTGCGCAAATCCAATTCATTTTAAACGATGTGGGGGTGTACAGTAATGAATGATGTAGCAACATTTTTGCACTGAAAGAGTATTAATAAGATTTAAAAATAAATAAAATTTCGAATTCTTATTTTAGCCTGGAAGAAGTGCAGCAAGAGTCTCATCTTCCGATGTAGAAATATCGAGAGCACCAGCAACGCAGCCGTTGCCACAAACAACTAGAGCACCTGCCGCTGCTGCAGCATCAACTGCTGTAGGATTTTAAAATAACTTCCTTTATTTGTACTATTTTAAAATAATTTATTAATTTCCTTTAGTTTAAAAAGGAAAACTTTTCAAATTCTCATTTTAGCCAGAAATAAATGTAGCAAGTGTCATATCCTACAAAATCCTACAGAGTCAACTACTGTATGATTTTAAAATAATACCCTTTAGTTCTGCCTGTCTAGTTAAGATGCTGTTTTTTTCGACGTCTTATTTTTTATACTTGTAAAGAATTAAGAATGCTTTATTTGGATTTTTTGTTTAAGAATAGTAGGTGTTTTTAATTTTAAAAGTAGTGGTATATCTGGCTCGCGGCTGTAGTAATCAGTTCGGGGCATAGGACAATTACCCTTTTCATGCTCGTTTTGTGTGTCTTATTCTGTGTAACAGCTTCACAAAACGCATATTGTCACTCTCTAATTTGTCTGTTTCCGTGTGTCTGTACGTGTTTATGTGTGACTTCGCGTGTTTGTGTATGTGCGTGTACATATATATGTATCCGAATGCGTTTTGTCACGGGTTTTTCAACTCGAGAACCAGAAAAGCTAGGAAGCTGAAATTTTCGGAGGATATTTCCTATCTGTGTGTGGCCCTGCAGATTTAAATTCAGTCTTTGCGAATCCTAGGTTTTACGTCCGGGTCACGTGAAATTTTTGGCGCCGTCCACGTGTGCCCAACTCTCACTTACGAACGCTTGAGAGTTTTTGCGCGAAATTTTCCGCAGTGGGCAAAATGGAAGACTGAAAATTTAGTGTGGTGCCTTGCCAAACGCACAATCCTGGAATTTCAAATCCAGCTTTCATGTACGCTTATGTCGCGAATGTAGATACGTGAAATTTTTGTAAGAGGAAATTTTAGTTTAGGAGCTAGATAGAAATTGTTGGGGTATATTTTCTGTTCATTTTTTGTTCATTTTCTGTTCATGCGCACTTCCCAATAATTTTTGAAATTCAAATTTAATTCTCATGAACGCTTTCGTTTCATATATGAGCGCATGGGATTCCGTATTTTTGCACATACTAAAGTGTAAAACAGTGAAAATTCCTAAAAGCAATTTCCTGCTGGAGAAAAATGCGCAAAACGCATGATCGCGCCGGCTACCCTACTGCGTGCCGCTATTTATTTGAATGAAAAATCCACTTTTTTTGCCAACTGATGTAGACTGGTCTGAATTTGTTGAAAATTCTGATTGAATTAAAAGTTAGCGTTAGACTGGCAAAAGTGTGGAAGAAATTTTGGCTCCTGAGAGAGATAGGCGCGCCACTGCAAAAAAAATCATCCGAAATTTATGCGTAGCTGTGTTATCTAGAGCGATATGTGAATAGTTTACTGTTATGCATATAACAGTCTCTGCATGTGTTTTGAGGGACAGCGTTGTTTGCGTTCACTGTGGGAGGTATTTTGTGAATATGAAAAGGCCTCATGCGAGAGAATCCACTAAGGCTCATTAGTGCCGAATTCATTTTATCATATTTTTTGATTTTTAGCAACAGAGAGATGTAAGCAGTGGCCAGTCGTCAGTATCAAGTACGTCTACATCAGAAATGGTGGTGGAGGCGCTGTCTGCTTCTACTTCGGCTAATGCAGCACCACCAAACATCGTGAGATTTGAAATACCTTTCCTCCCCGTTCCCTTCGTATATTAAAGTTAAAAAATTCCGGTTCGAGAGCGCAGTTTAATATTTTTCCTTTTTTTCTAAAAACTGTTTTACGATAGATAGTTTGGTATATGTGTCACAGTCATCGTTTTAAGTGTAATGCGTGATCTTCATGGTTTGTTTGTTTAGCCTACTTCGGAAAGTGTCCGGATGAGGCTCTCGGTAGCTCTGCTCATGGGTCCTTGCTGTTGCTTGTGTGTCCTTTACGAGCAATTACATAAGAAAATCATTGGCGACTCTCACCGAGCGGACTCGTGCGGTCATGTGTTCTTGCAGTATTTCGAGCTGTTGTAAGGTCACTTGGATCCCCAGTAGCTAGATTGATCCTCGAAAGTTCGAGAAATTAATTATGCAGCTACATGGCACTTGGTCAGGATTTTTTCAGCCCCTCAAAATTTCAGCCTTTAGCCTTTTCTAGTCCTCGAATCGGCCAATTTTCTTGCCAAAAATTTTCACGCGGCCGTGCATGCGAACTATACATGTCTCGGAGCTGAATTTGGAAACTTTAAGTTGTGTGTGGGCTGGGAACATCCCCTCAAAATTTCAGCTTCCCAGCTCTCCTGGTTCCGAGTAGGCAATTTTCCCGCCAGAAACTTTCACGGCATCGTACGTGGGAACCACGCATACCTGTGGGCTGGATTTGAAATATTTTAGTTCTATGCGAACGGGGAACATAATCGCAGATTTTCAGCTTTTGGCTTCCCTAATTCCCAAGTTAGCGATTTCCCCGCCAGAATTTTCATGCGCTCATACGAGAGAGTTGATACTGCGGCCCTGGAGCAGCACTTGACCGGGAAACCAACTAGCAAAATTTTGGCGCCCGAATTTGTTTGACTGGCAACTTGAAATACTCGGGCCGATACACACACACACACACATAAAACACACACATATATATACAAACACACACACCGGGATCGTCACAATATGCGTTTTTGCGTTTACATATATGCAGAAACTCACAATGAATTATAAGAGCACAGGGAGAGATGCGTGTTGATATTTGATTTAATCTGCGATGGCTTTTGGGGGTTGTAGAGGTCGCAATTGCCATTTCTGTTTGCATATTGTTACATGGATTTTTAATGATATACAAGTGAAAATCCTCTAACAATCGGATGCAAATTAATGAAATGAATTGAGCAGGCACATTTTCATGCTGATTTTCACATCCATGAATTGGCCTGGAAAGAGGGTATAGATAACAAGCAGTTTGTATACGGAGCCTGGAAGACAG